TGAGAGTTTAGATGAGCAAGAACGTTCTTGCTCATCTAAACTCTCAAATCGGGTATACCCTAACCCTAACCCTAAACCTAACCCTAACCATAACCCTAAACCTAACCCTAACCCTAATCCTAACCCTAACCCTAACCCTAACGCAAAAAAGGGGCTTGAACGACCGACGGCTGGCGTACCTCCAGCCACTGCGAATAAATTTTTTTACCAAACTGAGGCCATAATAAAAATGTTGTTTGTTTGCCCTCACCCGACCGACCCGCTAAAAAGGGGCCGACTCAAACATTTTTATCGATCTTTCCGATTTTTTTTTTCTATATGTCTATAAGTTTCTGTATGTGGCAGGCCTGCGGCAACTGTACGCGGGCTATAGTACTAGAGCTATGCACAGCCTGGCTGCGTACGTGCCTGCTGGCTGGGCGGCACTGATTGAAGTAGGGGGGAGGGGCAAGTGCATTATTGATTGTTTCACTTTCAGCTGCGTGCCAGGTGCTTGTTCATTTATATTACATATGTAGGGGTGGCCGGGCACCGCTGGTATGACAGCAAAACTTACCTGGAATTGGAAATCGCTATATTATAATTTAGATATTCAATAACTTAATTATCGATCTAACTCTGACAGATTAACTTTATTTTCCTTTCCAAAGACTAATATGTGCTAAGAAGATATTTATTATTTCTTAATTCAAGTTCCTTTTATTTTTAATGCTTTTATTTCCAGATTACGTGTATGCGTGCGTGCGTGCGTGCGTGTGTGTGTGATCTGGAAATAAAATCATGCACAATTTAGCTCTGATGAACACAAGTTGTTAAAAGTATTTTATATGTATATTGTATCACTGTACAATGTACATTATATAAATCTGTAGGAAAACATAAAAGGTATCTCCACACAAGCACACCTGAGCACGTAGACACCATTGCTGAATTTGTAAAAAGACCCCCCTCAAAAAAATAAGCCGACCTACCTACCCACACTTTTCAGCCTGGGTCGGGTGAAGGAAAACAAAAAATTGTTTAATTGTGGCCTAATTATTTTGTTATTCTCTACTAACCTTCTACATTATTCTAATGAAATAAATGGGGTAAATTTAATCAAATATAGACTAAAAATAGTCAAATTCCGAAGCCTAAAGTCCATGCGAAGTACACAAACTCTCCATGTTTGTTGTGTTCGATTTTCTAGGTAATGCTGACCTCTGCTAATTCGATAATACTGGGCATCCCGACCAATCAGCGATCGCGTAATAAAATATGATAATTTATAGGAATAATGGGCAGTCTTCAGAGACTGCTGATCTTTGAAACCGACTACTATTTACTATGCAACAGTGTATCGAAACGAGTAAAAAATATAATTTTTAAGATTACCTTAGAATGCACATCACCAAATTGCACTATCCCCCCCTATAAAAACGTCCCCACATCCGAGTCATTCACTTTGCTATGACAGAAATCCTGGACCAGTGCCTACTGACCAGGAACAGTACTTCCTCAGAGGCACTGGTCCTGCTGGACCTGTACCTCCAATTATCAGTTTTTCACCCTGCAGTGGCAAACATCGCTTTAGCATATATCCTGGGAATGCTTCCAATGGACGTTCGGATCCAGAGAGACCGGATACAAGATGGCCTTGCGCAAAAGATGCGTTGTTCCCCGACCGCCGAAAGCGGTTAAGCCGCGCACTTCCGCGGGACTGGGCGCACGCGACCGCGGGATGTTATGCGTATAGCTCCCCGCTATACGCATTCGCGCGCCGAAGGAAGGCGGGCGCGTGAATGCATATAGCGGGG